CGACATTTTAATCAGTCACGAAATTTCGCAATCTCGTTTGGTTTCTGGTTTTTATTTCACGTTTCAAAGTAGATCGAAGTACTAACCAAGACGACTACTTTTTTTTTCCCTTCAGGTGTGGGATCCGAGCTCTGTCAATATAGCAGACTACATCCGCATACGAGTTAGTCATGGATTGACTCCAATCAAAGCGACGCTATTGTCAGGGATGGTCGAACAGTTTAGTACAAGTGTTATATCGGAAGGTATTTATCCTTCAGATCTTATAAGATCAGAACCAAGTTGTAGAAATTTCATTTGAAGTATGGAAGTTTTAGTTTTCCCAAGCCAGATTCCTGACTAACAATTTCTTTTTGACCAAAATCTATCGGTGAAACTAATCAGTCCGTTCAAATTTATTAAGTCGTTTATTTTATTTCGAGGAAACACAGCCGGACCTTAAGTTTAGCTAGCTCATAACATTTCGGTTTCTTTTCTTTTCTTTTCTTTTTTTATTATTTTGTTTTTGTTTTTGTTGTTGTTGTTGTATTTCTCTCGAGATTTCCTGTCGCTTTTAGAGTTAGCGATTTCTAATGAAACAATTTCTTTTATTTGGCCAGTTTTACAATGGCTGAAACATGTTGGTGGCTGTCGAACAAAATCCTGAAAGACTTGTTTCTGTTATTAATATTTTTTCTCCTTTCGTCTCCTCGTTCTTTTAAGGTATAGGAGGTGTGTGGTCATCATCTAACGACAAAGTTGTCAGCATTAACTCCACGACTGGCATGGCTGTGGCAACAGCCGCAGGAACAGCTACTATTTACTACAAGATACCTCAGTTGTACTCAGCGCAGACTGAAGTCAAAGTGGAAAGTCTAAGTAACATTCATGTCTCGAGAGATGACGCCCAGGTCATCACCAATATCCCGCGAGTGGATGGGCGTGGTTATGTCATCCCTGTTAACTTTAGACACGATCATATGTCACAGGAACAAACCACCAAAGCATCTGGCCTTCTTGATGGAATTCTCCTGTTTGAAGAACTAGGTTTCAAGCAGACGACACCTTTCCAGTGTATTCTGAACCTTAGTTATGACCCGTATGGGAATGTCCACACCGAAGATTTGTTTGAGGTGAAGCCTGGGTTTGTCAGTGGACAACCAATATGTTATGTGGTGCCAAAGAGTACTAACGACGATGTTATCCAGTCTACAAGTTCTATTGCTGCTCAGCTGAGTCTTACTGTCAGAGTTTTTGATGAGATTCAAGGTCGCAGCGTATCCTCGGAGTCAGTAATCCTGCACTTTGTTCCAGCATTTGTGTTGAGTGAAAAAGAACTGCAACTTTCTGCCGACAAACGGAGAGCGCAAGTTTTTATCATGGCTAGTGTTGAACAACTGGACAACCTTGAGGTAAACGTATTTATTTTTTTTTTTTTAAATTTGTTTGCTGACTATTTTCATGTATCTTTTTGCTCCGTCTGATCTAAATCACTTCACGCAGGAGTAACCAATACGTGATTTCCCTTTACCTGTTTTCAAGTAAAACGTTTCTAAAGGTAACGACATGCCGTATGTATTTGATTAAGCGCTCTGGGTGCTGATTGAATTTCTTATTCGAGGCTGGGCGCTGATTAATTTTTCACCACCTTTTCCTACCGACAGGGTGGGCGCTTATAAGAATTCAGCGCTTAATCGTAGAATACGGTATTTATCAATCAGGAGATATCGTTTGAGTTTAACACAAAATCTCAGGCTAAGCTCGGAATGGATTGTGGGACAAACAGGAAGGAGACCTGATACTAAAATGTTGGTCGTGAAAATAATTGACAAGAAGTTTCGCAATTTGAGAGATCATATGCAAACAGCTTATAGAGGCATGTAATTTCAAGTTTGGGGTAGATAATATTGGAGTTGAATGCCTTTCTTTCTGTGTCCCAATATGTAGAATTTATGGGTAGACTACAGTTAAGTCCCGTCATCGGCCGCCTAATGGAGTTAAGGGGGCCAATTTTAAATTAAGGTTCGACTGTAGGTCTTTAAAATGTTTGATGCACCATTCCCGTAGGTTTTAGTAGTTTATGTACGCATACGCACAAACGCGACAAATTTTCACATTTTTCTCTAAGGTAAGATCTCAAGATTCGTCCTTGGTCGATTTTACGGCGTTGTTAAGTTCAGATGATAAGCAGGCCGAATACGAGATAGAAGTGGTAGGGAAAAATCCCAGGTCGTTCAAGAAAGTCTGGGTGGAGTTCAAAAGCTTGCTTACCGGCCAGAAAGGTTTAGTGTACGTTTCTTACACAGCACCATCTGGTGGTGCAGTTCCCGTGGTGTTACCAGGAGCAATTCCAAGCAGTGAGCAGTGTCCAACAGTCGCAGCTGGCAAAACAGAGAGAAGCTTCCAAGGATTTCTCTTCGCTTTACTTGGAGAGACAAGTGCTTGGATAATCGGTCTTTCATTATTTGTTGGGTTTATTATTCTTGTACTAATCTTATGCTGCAGTCCACGTGGCAGGGGTGCCAGTAGTGTAGCGGCCTCTCCCAGCCCTCTCGGAGGGACCCATCAGCATGGGAGCCCTTATCCACAAGGTCCATATCCGGGTCCATCTACAGCTACATATTCTGGGGGAAGGTCCACTAATTTGGGCTCAACCACGGGCGCATTTTCACCAGGGGTTGGGGTGTATGGATCTAATGGCGGCGCAAACGACACATCTCTTCGGTCCTTTCCAGAGGAGCACGATGAAACACGCCGAGAAGTATCAACAACATACCGGCACACCAGAACTTCCGCTCGCACTTATCTCTCCGACGATAGTTCTCACGCCTCTGGGGCATTGTCTATAGGGCGGATTTCACCGAACAAGTCACCCGGATTGTTCAGTGTCCATCAATAACGTCAGATGGACGTGAACGTCTATGACATCTTGATATTTAATGTGCTGCTTTTGGAATTCGCAAGATGTGCACAGCACAAGGAGGAATGGCGTATTCCCCTGTCACTCGACGCAAACATTATGTCTCGAAGATGCTGAGGTTATTGTTCGATGACAATGTTTGTGTTCCTTTGTGTAAGGCAAACTGTACTTCTTTCTTGTCCTACGTCACTGTAAAATAGGTTGTAAAAGAGGGCTAAAAAAATTCAATATGAAATAAGTTCATGCAAAGGAAACTTAAGGGAAAAAAATGGCACAGCGAGGTACTCTTGTAAAACGTTTGGTAGTCTTCTTTCAGATAATTTCCGAAGAAAGAGAACGACTCCCTGAGGACACAAATCATACGTGAAAAATTAGGACGATCAAAATAATGCGACTTAAAACTTGTTCTCCCCTCCTCCCGCTCAACTATCATTTGTCTGTTCCTAATTTCGCTTTTCGAAAACAGGTAGCTTGCGAGCGACCGCCTTTACTATACACCTTTATCACGTAGCGCCATCTTGAATTGCGTGAAGCACCAAATCGAGGCTGAACGTGCCTCGGTTTGAGCGTTTCTTCGTCCGCGGGAAATCACGAGACCATGAGCTACGCAAACCAGCGAGAAGTCTGTAAGGAGGCTCCACTCCTAATAAACCACTCCCCGACTCAAATCTTGCCGCGAGCGAAAAAAAAAAGCCACAGAGTTAATGATAGGGTATAAGGGTCTGCTTCAAGGGTAGAGACCAGGTGAATGATGAAGGGTTCAACGAAGCAGGCAAAATCTATTTTAGTTTTAGGAAGATGCGAGAAATTTAGGAGAGTTCAAAGGTCATTTACGAGAAATGTGATTGGTGAATTGCCAGCATCTAGATTGTCACTTATTGAATTCATTGTTTAGCCGAAAGGATTGCCCATAACTTAAACAAATAAAGTAAGCATGCAATAATCGATACTAAGAATATGGGTTCAATAAGGGCCTGATAGAGGCGTTCGAGAAATTAATTAGACTCCTGAAAATGCGTTCTGGAGGCATTCGCGAAATGATTGATGAAAACATTGTTTCAGAACCTCTGAATGTTCTACCTTAGAGTGGTTCAAGTGATCTCTTGAGGTTCTCTAAGTATTACATGAATAACATGATTTTCTAGTTTTCTTATTAAAACTCGAACTTCCAAATTGCCGCCTTAACCGTGTTTTGATACAGTATAGGTCTTGTGAATGATATGTTATATTTAAAATAGCGTGTTATTTGTGTCGTGGAGATAATTATTTTGATGCGTCGTGTATTTATTGAGTTTAAACTTTATCTCTGCGATCTCTTACCAAATAAAGGTCTTTATTTCTTTTAACATTTATGGTACTGTTAGTATCTCATGCCTAACATACCTGATGCCTGTGGAAAAGGTGTTTCAAAATATTATAAGAACTGCTGCTCCAAATTTACTATCTATAGTTTCTGTTTACCAGAACATGGTTCTGTGGGTGTGCCCTTTTTACCCTTTTTCACCAACTGATTTTTGGTAAACTCATTTCAACAAATTGTGCTCTACAGGCGGGCTGGTAAATGCATTGTCATTTTCTGAGGGAGGTGTAATCACTAATTTCACACTATTTCTAAGCTCACAATCGATATCAGTTTTATGATTCGAATATGTACGAGCTTTAGGAACCCGCAGTAAGGCTAAATGAAAAACTACAACAACAAACATGTCCGACTCAAAACGTTCCACGTGTTTTCTTTTTGCCCGCTATGCCTTGTGGGAGGCACAGGACTCCCAACACTAAAAGAAATTCCCTTCTTTTTTTAAATGTAAATGTTCAACAAAAGGTAACAAGGGGAGTACCCCTAGGAAAAAATAAGCAACATAGTGATACATACCCAAACCTGGGAATGTGACCCAAATTAAGGACTTATGGATGATGACAGAACACAACTTCTGTTAAATACATGTGCATTCTGTGTAGAAGATTTCTAATTCAACACTCTAACTTGTTTTCTACATTTTGCATCTGTGACATGTAACTTAAACAGAAATGTGATCAGAGAGTTCAACCTTGTCCACAGCACCAGAAGTTTTCTATTTCAGTTACCTCTTGTTTCCCTGAGTCGCTGGAGAAAAATCCAACCACTCAGGTTTTAGAGGAGCTGTAAACAAGAGACTCAAAACAAGTACCTTTCCTTCAACTGCTTTCTTCTCCATATTTAGTTCTTATTAACCGAGCAGGAGGTCTGTATGGGAGAATCTTAACCGAGGTTGCCAGTACAGACCGAACGCAGTGAGGTCTGTACCAGTGACCGAGGTCAAGATTCTCCCATACAGACCAACCTAGCTTGGTTAATTAGATGTTTATTATATGGCTGTGTATTGTATCCCAATATTTTATATTCTTTGTACCTTTTATGTCTAGACCAGTCTAGATAAGAAAACCTAGACTGCTTTCAATATCGATTTCAGCCAACCAAATTCATGAATTCGGTAGTTCCCAGTCCTTGTGAGACACAGCCATATATTAACACCAGATTAAAATAAATAATACTTTATCTGAGGGTTTGGGGGCATAACAGCCAGATGCCAAATTAAGAAAACTGGCCATTATATCTTTTCTGCCTTGTTTTTTTCTTTTTTGTCATCTCTGTATATACATGTAACCAGCAAATTTGAAAACATTGGCCCATATATTTCTGTTTAAGTATCTCAAAGGATCTCAGGTTTTCTAACAGTTTCTTTCCACTCATAATTCATTGTTTGCATATTACATGTTGTACCCCCAAACCTTTGAATGTACAAAACATTCTTTGAAATAAAAATACAAACATGTATATCTTAATTTCTCTTTGTGAAGTGTCTTAAATATCAAACATATCTTAGAATGGTAAAAATAATTTACTTTGAAATAGTATATTTCTATTAAATGATTCCCTATTAAAAAAATGATGGCACAATATAGATTACTATCAATTTATCTTACACTACCCTGACCCATCACATCTTAAGATTCAGTCAGTGATTCTCCCTTCTTGCTACGATCAGCCACCTTGAACTGAGGTGGCAAAATTTGGTGTTTAAAATACAATAAAACTTCTTCTAATCTATCCTCATGAACTGTTTGCTGGATGAAGAACTGATATTTTGAGAATCTGAAATTTAGTCACCAATAGAATGTCCACCAAAAGGTTCACCTTTTCACTCCTCCCTGTCTACCATACAATTACTATGATGTTACTTTGGAGAATTTGGTTTAAGATCAATAAATAATTCCCTAATTGACATTTTTCTTTATTCTCATCACTTGTCTGCTTGATATTGTTATGATATTGTAAGGAGAAATTCTATCTTAGTCACTCCTGGGAGTGAAAAGGCTAAACCACCACTAAGATCAACTTGACCTCTGGTGATGACTTCAACTCGGGTTCAAACCATTTTGTTACTCTCTTCACGTAGCAGGTCACGGAAGACAGAAAAGTACACTTTGGAACAGCATACTTTTGTTGACAACAAAGATTATCGCCACTACTTCCCACAACCAGGATGCAGTTCAGATAAAAACCATCACCTCTAGTCAACTCCGTGACCATATTACCCAAACAGTCCACTCAAAAAAATTAATATTATCCAACATACATGTACTAAGTATTATAGTATTGTAACTTCAAGCATGGCAGTTAAATCAATACTGCTAAAATTTCACCATACTAAAATTTCAAGTCATTTCATAGCCTCTAATATAAAACTGTAAAAATGTGGCTCTTCCTGTTCCACCAAAATAATTAAAATTTCAACACTGACATCAATAACATTGTCATTTGCATTCAATGTAGTACAGATGTTTTTTTTTTTTGGAATTTTAGTATACATAGGGTCGTACACAACCCAATATTTATAAATATACTTTTTAATAAAAATTTCACTAATAACTGATAAGATTTCTGTGATTAAAACCTAAGTTTACGCAGAATTTCAGTTCAATTCTTTGCATCAAGTACCTCTGAGTCTGATGATGATGATGATATTTCCGTATCAGTTTCTGTCTCTGTGTCTGTTTCATTCTCATCACTAATCTTGCATTCAAGGACTATCTGATCAACACCACTATCCTCGTGGTCAGGGTGGTGTTCAAGGCCTATCTCACTTTTCTCTTTATGGTTTTCATTGTTACCATTACCTGAATGTTCAGGTTTAACAATAAAACAGTAACTAAACTGACTTGATGGTATTCTGTGGTCAAAGTATTGGCACTTCTCTAAATGTGCTGCCATGAATGGTGAGTTAGAGTGCACCCACTTTTCGACTGGTGAAAATGACGTAGAAAAGTACCATCGCTGAAATAGAAAGTGGACTGGTTATTAAAAATAGTTCCTAAAACTCTTAATATGAAGTTTCTGAACTTACATTATACACAAAGAACAAGTTAAGTTATATATTGATTACATATCTCTGGGTTCAACTGAGTGGGGGAGGGGGAAGGGAGATTTCACCTCTAAAAAACTTTTGAATTCAACAGGCCTTATTTTGTTCTTATTAACCGAGCAGAAGGTCTGTATGGGAGAATTTTGACCAAATCGCCAGTACAAACTGAACGCAGTGAGGTCTGTACTAGCAACCGAGGTCAAGATTCTCCCATACAGACCAACCTAGCTCGGTTAATAAGATGGTAATTTTATGGTTGTGTCTTATATGCCAATTTTTTATATTCTTTGTACCTTTTTTTTCTAGACCGGTCTAGATGCCGGTCTAGATGGGAAAATCTAGACCGCTTTCAATATTGATTTCAGCCAATCAAATTCGTGAATTTGGTAGTTCCCAGCCCTTGTGAGACACAGCCATATGATAAGTTTAAATATAGACTGCAAGACTGACAAATCATGGCACTCATACTAAGTGGGAGATAAAATAAATTGAATTAACACTTTGCTATGGCTTGCACATTTGATGTTTACATCATGAAACAGACATGAAATTTTACCACTAACTTAAAGGGGAGCTGAAGCCTAAAATTGAGTCATTTTTAAATTGAAGCTTATAGTTCAAATATCAATGTTTGAACATTTTTTTTCAGTCTTTGGGTCCAACTTTGCCTCAAAAAAATAGTTTAAGTCATATTTTGACTTCATAGTATTGGCCGCTCAGAAAGCAAGGTCAGCTGTTATTTTGGCTCACCATAATGTCACTGGTGGGGAAGAAAAATAACACTCCTGTACTATTCCCTCAGAACTTCGGTATGGCTATGGAGTTATCGAAGTTACGTGACTTGTAATGGAATCAAATTCGAAAATGAATTATGATATGAGACCTCAAGTTAGTTTCCCACCACAGACTTCATATTCAACTGCTTCTAACCATTTTTTTAGCGTGAAGTCTAACAGCTGCAAGAGTGAGAAAAAGGTGAATTCAAACTGAATTTTCTCATGAAAAACAAGAAGTGACCAAATTTAATCACCAAGACTTAATCTTACTTTTCTAAAGCTCACTAAAAATTAATGCAAAAAAATATTACCAATTTTAAGCTTCAGTTCCCCTTTAAAAAAACATGTTGCCAGAGTAACCAGTTGACTCTTGTACAAACTAAATAACTGAATGAAACTCATGATACATTAATGAGGTACATGCAATACTCAACACCAACCTTCTGTCTTATCTTCCAAGACCAGCTCCCATCATCGTAGATTCTTTTTTCCCACTCAAACAGCACCATGCCTTTTGTTTCCAAAACATTCCTGCAAACCTCCCTCAACAACTTACAAGTGCGAGAGAAGTTACACAGACTGAAGCCATCCAGTTGGCCAGCTACTTTTTCCAGGATCTCTAAGGGCAAAGATGTCAGCAGATCCAAACTAGATTTTGCATGCATCTGAATTTGATTTTGAGCAATTTCCCCTGTGGAACCATTGGTGTCTCCTATCTGACTTTGGGAAGATTCTGCCGCACAGCAAGAGGTGTCTACAGGAGGTGATTGCTCATATGGTCTGATGCCAAAGCTTCCAAGCTCTTGGTTGAAGGTTACAGCTCCATCTTGGCTGTGTGGAAGAAGCCTGTAGCGAACAAAGGTACAGCCATATTGTGAAAGCGGACAGCGATGCTCTAACCAACCATTCAGCCCACCTTGAATATCACTGTGAACATTTTTGAAATGGCCACTGTACTCATCACGGCGGAACACCTGGTTGCAAGGTATGGAATACATTGGAAACTGTTTCTGGAACTTGGGGAGGGTTTCAACCACAACATTCAAACCCAGGGGCTGGTCAAGGTAGATGGGCAGATGGGCAGGGGGAGGTGGTACGCTGTTGTTGAGGAAACTAACAGAGGCCTCGTCATGTTTAATACTTTCATCTTCTTCTACTTCCAACGGATGTAGCTCTATTTCAACTGGATTAACATTAGAATTGACATTCTCCTGTTTTTCACTTCCAGAAAACAAATTGCAAAGAATATTTCTGTCTTCGCGATGAGTTTCGCTGTTGAGTAAGTTTTCATTTTCGAGATCTCTGCCAGAATTCTCCCCTTCACCTCGTTGTTTACGAAACTTATTTTCTAACGAAGACATTGCTAAAGCCATCGCCATTTTTACAGAATCCGATTTTACAGTCGGTGGTTGGGTCCCGTTGCCATGCTGTTTCGGCGTGTCTTTCTGTAAGGACGATCTTAACATGTCCACTTTTGCTTTTCCTTTTCTACAACGCCTTCGAAACACTTCCCGAAGTATTCTTTGATCCCTGAAGGCCAGCTCCACGTCTAGATGCCCTTTTACTAAAATCGGGTTCGGTTGAAAGAAAGGCACCCAACTTAACCGAGATTTGGAATACACTGGATATCTATTCCATTCCATTGTACAAAAAATTACACTCGCCGGGCACCGCTGTAAGTGTTTTCTTAGGTTATCTCTTGTCAACACAACCGGGCATCCATATTCTGAATTTATACATGGAATTCGACATTTCTGGCACACATTCTGGTGGTCTTTCATTTTACAGCTGTGAAATTGCGCTCCACATCCGAACTCACAAAATAACATCTTGCAGCCATTTGGAGAGTTGCAATAGAGCTTTACACAATTGTCGCAATGTTCATGGCTTTTAAAATCCATTATCTACCGGTGAAACTTCAAGGAAATGCAACAGAGACTTTCACGTACCGGCGGTGGTGATCTTTTGTCCTTTCCTCAGTGAATATTTATTTACATTCTGGAGGATCGCCGCTGTTTCCTGCGACACGGTTTATTCCGAATATCTTCGGCTACCTCCGACAAGTACGAGAAAGTATCGATCGTGACGTCATCTGATGTCACTGGCCATCATGGCGGAAAAAGCCAATTAACTTATTTTTCAGAATTATTCCAGAGGAAAATTTAATCTATCTTCGTTTTAGTTCACCTTTTTCTCGTCGACATGACTCTCATGGTTTTTTTCGGATGCGCTTTTATAGCATTTGGACCAGCATTAGCTCTGTTTTCCCTTACTGTAGCCAAAGATGCTCAGCAAGTGATTGTGTTGATTGCAAGGTAAGCCACTTAGGTTATGATCGTGACTTCCTTAAATTTGAGTCATCATTCAGATTGTGGAAGGTAATATTTCACCACTTCACTCTTCTTCATTTTTGACCACGGATATATCTGGAATCAATAGTAAAAAAGATTTCCTAAAGTTTGAATCACTTTGCAAAAACGAAATGGACAGACATGTAAAACTTTAGCTAAAAATATTGATGACAAATATTGAAAATCAAATGATAAGAAATTATGCTTCTGAAAAAGTAGATTTAAGAAAGTCTAAAATAGTATGATTCCTCTTTTCAATGACGGTGTGGAGTCTTATGCTTCCAAGTTCTGAGCAACTGTGGAAATGTACTACTTTGTGCACAACATGTTCAATTGCATTCTCTGTCATTCTTCACGAGTTGTTTGATCATTGGTTAGGTTTAAACCATGTTGTACTAGACAGACCTGTCAATTCTTGATCAAGGAAATCTGGAGACTTGAAAAAATCCTGCAGATTTCATTTAAATTTGAACAATTGCCTAGCAAGATTTCCGTATAACCCCATACTACTTCATTGTGCATTCAGTTCTTGGATAGAGGAAAGCAGAGGCAAAAGAACAGACTTTGTTTGGGATTACGGCTTTGTTTTTGATTGGTATGGGGTTATACGGAAATCTTTCCTAATTCTGTTTTTTCTTCCCAAATCAAGATCATGAAATTCTTGGAAAAAACTGTCCAAGAGTTTCCATGCTTAGTTTGTGTTGCTTGTTGTAAGAAATTGCAGCTTTGTTCCCCATCCTCCTCCCCTACTTTAGTGTAAGCAGATACCTGCTCCAAAGTATATTAAAAATTCTGATGTGCAGGGTAAATGCCCCTCATTGATGCTTCATCACAGTTGTTTTTTGTTTTTGTTTTGTGGGCTGGAAAAATGAAAAAAAGTTATTTGTTTCTCAAAGTTTCCCACTGTCTCACTTAATGCTTTAACCCTTAAGAGTGACCAGCATCTGATTTCTCCTTACAATATCACCCCTGAATCAAACATTAAGGTCATGAGAATAAAGGAAATGATCACAAACCAGAAAAAGGTCTTGATTGGCAAACAGCTTCTCCTTGTCAGTACCCTAAAAAATGTGTGGAGAATATGCACGCTGATGTTAGGGACTGCATGCTAAGGGTTAAAACTATATACTGTAAAAAACCTGTGGATAAGGTGCACCTGTAGATAAGCCACACACTGAATTTAACAGCTCCAATTTTGGAAAAAAAAGTTTTTTTGAAAGAAATCAAAAGAAATCCAAAGTCGAGTCTTGATATGCCTTCTTCATTCACTGTTCATCAAACTTAAACTCACTATTCACATTGGGACAGAAAATACTTCAAAGTCTTACCCACAATATTAGCACTTACCAGTAAATATAATGAATCATTTCTACCAACTTTGACATATGGTTTCAAGAATTTTTTCTGGTATTTGATGACGGGAATTTCTTCATTCAACATAGTTTTTCCATAGATTTTAGCATTACAACAAGAATGTGAGCAGAAGATTCGAGGCTTACTAAACAGGCATCAGATCAGACATGAAAATTAAAATTGTTATTGACATTCATGACACCTTTTTCAAATGTTCCGGCAGATAAGCCACACCCCCAATTTCTACTGACAAGTTTTGGAAAAGAGGTGCAGCTTATCTGCGGGTTTTAACTGTATCATCTATAACAGGTACCATAGTGAATAAAAGTACAATTTATTTGGTAAATAAATCTTGTTTTTTTCAGTGCTTTCTTCTGGTTGCTGTCGCTACTATTGTCATCAATCTGGTGGACTGTTGTGTCACCTTTGAAAAAGCACCTAGCATTTGGAATTGCATTTTCAGTCATCTTTCAAGAACTCTTTAGACTGGCTTTCTACAAACTGATGAGGTAATATTCTCAAAATTGGAGAAATAAGTGGAATCTTGGCAGCTAGAGGTTAACCTTTTTTTAATGCTATTTTGGACATGGTTAAACTACAGTGTATCATGATTAAACCATAAATATGCAAACCCAAAAAATCTTCAAGCTCTGTTCGGTAATTCTCCTTTGATTTTGTTATAAATATTTCTATATATTTATCAGTGCAGAGTTAGTTACTTTAATAAATCAAGAGCGGTTTAGCTTGGTCTGTACGCTCATCAACAACACGAGGCTTTGACTCATGAGGCACAGCCATAACACAACATCCTCATCAAATAAATGATTCTATCAGTGATAGAGACATTGCATGACAGAGTGATGCAAGTAGTGTTGTCTGAAGTCTTATTTTAAGTGACATTACTGTCATTTGTGGTAAAAATTGATTATTTGTAATGGTGCCCATAATTGAACTTAGTAGGGTAGAATTTGATCTGAAATAGTAAGCATACTTTCAAATTCAAACAAGTGCACAGGGCTAGTTCAATTTGAGATCACAAGTATGATTTCAGACCCCATTCACTGAAATACCAATTGTATCTGATAAGTTGGTTGTCCTGTGCAATGTATTGTCATGTCATCTTGTGGATCACATGCTGTGTAAAAGTACCCAAAAAAACTCTTAAAATTGAAGCATGTAGACTTGTATTTTCTTATACTCATAAGAGTATCTGTGTAATGTTGCTAAATTGGGTTTTAACATGAAATGACCAATATATGACTTTCTCTATTATTAAGGAAAGCAGATGAAGGTCTCCTTTCAATGATCAACAACCAGACACCACTAAGGAAACACAGGATAGCATATGGTTAGATTCTTTATTTTGATAGCAATGTTAACCCTCGACACCAACTTCAGCATCAGTTTACATATTCTCCATAATGTTCTTTATACATTTTCTAAGGTGCTTAGAAGGAGAATTTGTTAAAAAATCTGACGCTTGTTAAGTTGATGATCATTTCATTACTCTCTTGATTTCAATGTATGATTCAGGGGTGATGAAAGGTGCTAGTCTCTCCTAAGATCAACAGGTTTAATAAGAAGTCTCTCAAGAAGAAAATCATTAAGTTAGAGAAATATAATATAATTTTTAGCCTGAGTGTAACTTATAGATTTTGTCTCAGAAAATGCAGCACATTTTTATTATGTCACATTCTTTGAATGATAATAGAGAGGAAAAAAAAAAGGCTTTTTTTTCTACTTTTGCAGTTTCTGGTCTAGGCTATGGTATTATAAGTGGACTCTTTGCCATGGTGAATGTATTAGCAGACATAACTGGCCCAGGGTCCTTAGGATTAAATGGTGATCCTCAAAACTTCCTTATTGTGTCAGGTAAGTTGCACTCGATAGCGATGTTTGTGGCATGCATATAACATTGAATGTCTATTAGTTAACAAAAGACACAGCCAAAAAGTTCACTGTCTTTTAATTGCCTCATGGACGGAAATTAAATCCAGTAAGAAGTGTGTCTTTTTCATTCAGGTAAAAGTTTCACAGTTCCTGGTCTTAAATAGAGTGTTTTGGGAACAGTACTGTTAGAAGTTTTCAGAAAGATAGGCATAAATTCTGAGTGTGACCTTCAGTCTAGAAATTTGGAAATTCTTGAAATTTCTTGTTAGGTTTGAATTGTCAACTAGTAGCAAAATATCATCCTTTGCCAAGTTGAATTAAATTGCTGGTCTCAGTACTGTTTCATTCGGTTATATTGATGCTTGAAAAATAAAGCAAATGAAATAGAAAAATTAGTCAGAGGTTATGAATGCATTTCAGACATGTACAAACTTTATATGATGTGGTTTGAAAATAATCTGTTAAACTAGAAGATTGCCTTAAGAAGAGGCATGTTAAGTACATTTTGCTCATGTTTAGTTTAGGACATAACCTGTAATGGGGGCCCAGTTTTCTACGTACACTGTAGATTGTTTCAATAACGTAATGGTATTTTCAGGATGTTGTATCAAAACAGGTGGTTTCCTCTTTATTCTTGACCTGGCCAGATCATTTTAAGCCTAAAAATAGGTATAAACCCACAGCTGAAAGGGAAAAAATACATGCCATAAATAATTTTAAATTGCTAAAAACCCTGCTGTTGTTTTTGATGAGAACATCATTGGTAATTGTAACATTATTATAGCACTGAACATGACTTTCTACTTAAACAGTTATTCCACAGGCATGCTTTGGAGATGAGATGATAGATAGCCAACGAGGCCCCTAAATTCATACTCTCCGATGAAGGGCTAAAACTTGAAATGTCAGCTTTTATAATCGTAACGGTGGCCAATTTACCATTTCAACTTTGTTGATATATTCAAATTATAAGGCCCCCAAAGGTAGAGTTGGCTATAATCATCTCATACCCAACAAACGCAAGTGGAATAATTGTTTTACTAAAAATGCCCAAAATAATAAGTAAATTTTCCCGCTTTTATTTTGTAAGAATAAACAGAATGGTACAATGAACAAAAAACACTTTTGGCTTAAATGATCTTCATGCATGGGCATGGTACAATGGCTCAAAACTCATGATGGCTTAGCCAGTGAAACTTGTGAATTGTGTTTTCCAATGATCCAGTTTTTAATATCAATTTTAACATCTTAAATAGACTTGTTAAAATAATAAAAACAAATTACAAACTTTTCTCTTTTTTTGCAGCTTTCTTGACATCCTGTTTTGTTTTGCTGAATACATTTTGGGGAGTGATATGGTTCAATGCCTGGGACCACAAGAAGTGGATCAATATTGTCCTTGTCGTGGCTAGTCACCTTTTTGTATCACTTATTGTACGTGATTTGGCTCTATATTGTAATGACAATAACAATAGCAATAATTCAATGATCTCAATTGAATCACGGTCGAAAAACAGATGAATTTATATATCCTTGTAGCTTAATCACAATTACTGATCAATCAAAAAAAATTGAAGGCTGCAATTGATCAGGGCCCAGTTTTTTTAAAGGGCAGATAACATTATCCAACAGGAAAAATGCTATCAAGGCAATTAAGGGATGCAAAATATACTGCCCCATCCACCAGAGAGATTTTTATCCAGTGGATAGTATTGTCTGCCCTTCAAATAACCTAAACCAGATTTTGGCAAGGCTTGAACCTTACCCTTCCATTTATTGTGCTTAATATTACTAAGTGAGTCACAGAGCCAATTGTTGAAAGGGTGTGGAAATGTTTGTAAGATCTTTTTCCCTATCAAATTTATTTTGTCTTTAGTTAATAGTTTGGCAAGTTGTCAACCACTTTTCTTGAAACTAATAGTGTCATCATAAGGTGTTCTTTGTTATATCAGTCGGGAGTAGAAAGTCTGTTTCAATCATAGAAAAAATCTCTTGGCTATGTTTGAGGAATTTGATGTCTTCTGTTGTTGTTGTTGTGTTTTTTAGCTTGATAAACTTTTACAAATCTTTTCTCTAGGGCAGTTGATTGCTTTATTTCTAATTTATTTTATGGTAAAAAATGTTGATTATTTTTTGAACACATGAAGAAGTTTGATAATCTTGAATCCCTTGTTAAATCATGTTGAAATTATTTTTAACATACTCTCTCTCTTTTGAATTTTTTAAAAAAAAAATCAATGCCAGCAACTCTGCAACTGTTATCACAACTATAGTTGAGTTATTTTCAGAAATTTCTCTTTGGAAGTCTGCCCATTTTTGCTGCTAGGTCTGTCACAGTTGTTGACTTACTGTTAGTTTTGTTTTTCTTGACAGACACTTCTGAATGCTCAACCTCAACCCCATTATGTTGTGTCACTTGTGTGTGCATACATCACCATGGTAATTATGGGAGCATTGGCATTCAAGACTGCTGGAGGAAGCCTCTTTAATATTTACAGACTCACTTCACGGCAGACACACTGTGATTACTAATGTAAATCCAAACCTGACCAATGTAAACTGTGTATAATATAACTGACCTCATAAAATGTTCAGTAGGTTCAGTCATCCAGGAAGTGTAAACAGTTGAAGAGACAACACAGTGTAAAGCCTAGAGAGCACATGGTTCTTGATAGTCTTAAATACATGGTATCCTATACTCAGGGTTTTCAAATTGGAAAAAAGTAGCAGGAGGAAATTGTAAAGTAGCCGCAGCACTATCTCTTTCCAATAACAGCAACCTTGTGGGGTGGGGTGGGGTGGGGTGTTGGAATACAGAAAGCACCTGTCGCAAATGCTCGAAGTGGCCAATGACATGCACTGGGCGCTGGCTAAATTTGAAAACCTTGTATACTGCTTAGACTTTGCCTAGGTAATTTTTTTTTCTAGACTTCTTTAACCCTTTTGCTCCCTGACATCAGTATCCATATTCTCCTTAATCTTCTCCATATGCCTCTTTCAGTGCTGACAAGGAGAATTTGTCTAATGATCAAAGCTTCTTAGGTTCTCTTGATCTTAAAGAATGATTCAGCTGCTTTAACATGCTGGCCACTCTTGGGGTTTAAAGGTTTGAAAGCTTAAAAGGATTGTGTGGGTAGTTGAACAAGAGCTGGAGCAGGTGAAGCAGAAAGCATTTGCTTTCTTTTAACTTTTGTTCCCAGTCTAGCCTACTAACCAACTTGTAGCTGTTCCTTCCCCTCCCCTCTCTGAGGAGAAACAGAAGGGAGAAAGAGTTCCCTCCTATTGTTTCTCCACAGGTGAGGAGGGTATGGCCACATGCAGGCTATCCTCATTCATGCTTTTTTGCTTAGTTGGCCTGCAGTTGTCTGTTAACAATACACAATTTCCATCAGAAGGTAGTAAACTGTGCATGGACAGATGATCCATTTAGAATCCATTACTATTCTGACTGGAATGCAAATACCCCTTTTCTTGGATGATATTGTCAGATGATGTGACCTTCATGTATTTTGCTTAGATCTGAGGCTTATTTCAAATTAAAGTTATTGAAAAGTTGAGAAAAGAGTAATATACAGCTGTGAAGATTATATGTGTTTATTGGTATTCACAAAGTACTGGCACAATGCTCAAATGTTTGCACAATTTCTTGGAATTTTGTTGAAAGAAATCCTCATCAAACGAAAGCACATTTTTCAGATTTTAAGTGTGGTATTTCCCGAAATTTATATTTGATTAAAAATTTCAGCACTTTTATTTAACATTATAATCTAAATATCAAAATGACAACCCTGGTTTACCTCAAGATTTTTCATCTGATCACATTTCTTGCTATTGTATAATGAAGTCTTAGATGGACTTCTTAAGTTTACCCTAAATGTCTGGACCATTCAGGAGAATTTAAGTTTTGAACTGCTTTTCCTAAGTTCTGATTGGTAATTCTTCCCTCTAGAGGTGATACATTTCTAAGAAAATCAGTTTTGAGAATTCAATGCATGATCATAATGATCAGGTTATATATACTCTTTCATCTTAATCAGTTTGCTGCGTCTCGTGAGTTCAGATTGGCTACCCCACAGGCGGCCCAAGCTCTCTTTGAGAACCACACAGGGAACACAATTTGCATATCGATTTATAAGGATTTGTAGGGGATTTTCTACAAGATAGCCATAGAGATAGTTAAAAGAGAAAATATTAAGTAAAAATGGCTTACCTTATTCCATACGTGTGTTGCTTGCTCCTGGTGTCGTTATTTTACCGATTTCACTTGATTTAAGCGGTTTTTATTAATCCTGGTTTTCTACTAGTAGAAATTAATATGCAACATGTGTTCCCTGTGTGGTTCTCAAAGAGAGCTTGGGCCTCCTGTGCCTTCCTCAGAAGAATGCTCCTTTATGTGAAAGATATAGAAATCTCCACTAATAATAAATTCAACTATACTAACGACAAAGTCTCTTCTTCTAAAGTACGCAAACAGAAACTTAAATGTTCAATCTGTACGTAGTTCCAAAGAGAGAATCAGTGTTCATATTCCCCAGAGAAAATTAACAACATAGTCTCTAAATCTCTCTGGCAATCTTCTTGTCCTCTGGGGTCGTTTCAACATTGTCCTGCGGATCAGAGCATTCCCCCTTATCCAACAGCCCGGCAGTCGATTCTGGTATGGTTGGTTGATAAGGTGATGGAATAGGGTCGAATTCTTGCCTGAGTGTGGGGTGTGTATGAGGCACGATCCTCGCAGTAGATAGCGCTATTTAAGAAATAGCGAAAATCAGACCTGAAAAAAATCAGGCCTGTACGGGACTCGAACCACTGACCTCTGCGATACTAGTGCAGCGCTCTACTAATTGAGCTAACAAGCCAACTGAGAGCAGGCCGTTAAGTTGATTCGTAATGAACCCGTGAAAGTGATAAATGAGATAGAATAAATATATGAAAATCATATATTTTGAACTGCGGTATTTGATACGTATGAGGCACGATCCTCGCAGTAGATAGCACTATTTAAGCAATAGCGAAAATCAGACCTGAAAAAAATCAGTG